TCGACGTAGGTATTGTAGAGCTACCTATCGCTGGTCACTAAATCGGTAAATCGGTAAGGTAGAATATTGAAATCATTTAAATGATTGAAGACTAAGAGGTGATAAATTTTAACATTCATGTCAAAACAAGCTAAAATCAATTAAATTTTACATAAGAATACATACGAGTAAGTGCGTAATTAAGTTACCACCGGTGCGGAAAGCAATTTCTGTTGAGAAGAGACCGGCAAGAAACTCAACAGTTGCTCTTTTTTAAAAAGATCTGTTTACAATATAACATAGGTATAATAGTCTTATTTTAGCCTACGTGAGTTTCAACAGTATTAACTCCTCCGATTGGCGTCGTAGAGATATCCCGCAATGGTATAATATGCTTTAATAATAAGTTTTCTTTTAATTTTGCGTTTACTTACTTCGCCTCTAAAGTGTCGGTTGCTTTTGTAGCGAACGTGAATTCTGTGTTAACAAAATTAGTTACATCATACAATTTTCCTGTTATGACAGCTGTTTTTCGACTACCGCGATCTACAAATGTTTGATTATCATCTGCGTAGAATACGTTTGACGTATCTTTGTACGTAGACTAATAAAATAACAGCGCTCCTCGTATTATTTAATAAGTGATTCACTAAAGACGATAACGATATTTTTTCTTGTATCTTTTGATCAAATTATCTTAGTGCTAAGGGAATTAAATTAAATCTTTTGGACCTTTATATTCTTAAGTGTATTTTATTAAGATTGAAAATATTGCATAAAAGAACAGGTTTCGCCGCAGAGCTATGAAATGTTTTATTCTACTCATATTTTACCTTTTTATTATTTTACTTTTAGTTTTTTTAATGTGAAATATTATTAGTAAAGAAAACTATAACAAGTTTCGCCTGGCATTGGTTAGACGCATTAAAAAAAGCACCCGTCGTATTTTGTATTCATTTAAATAAATAGTGAATAGGAATCAATGAAAAAGCAGAGAAAACTAAGTGAAAAAAAAATATGTAAAGAGTCTAACTTCAAAGAACAAGATCGCATGGTTACAAATGCGCAAAAATTGGAGCATTGAAAAATTGGTTATTTTCGTAGATTTTCTTACAAATAAAAAGTAAAAATATATATGCATAAGGTGTAGTAACAGTCTATGTGTGGTTTTTGGCAGGAACTCCATATCTCTTAGTGTTGTTATGTCATAAATAGTTGGCACATTCATCGTCTCTTTTGCCTATTGAAAAATGTTATTAGCGATCCTTAGAAATAAAACAAAGAAGCAATATTATCAAATAATAAATAATTCAAAATATTCATTCAATAGTCAATCGGAGAATTTCTGTTTATAAATAAAGTTAAACAGGTTCTTTATTTTCATATTACGTAAAATCTGTTTTAATCCGCTCTACATTGAATACTTACAAGTATTGACTCGATTAAAAACAATCGATTCATCAAATTATGTCGATGTTCACGATAAATAAATGGTTACTTAGCTTCTCCCTATTTCTATTCAGAATTGGTTAAAATATAAGAATGCAAACCGAAACCTCAAGTAAGGGCTTAAGTAAGGTAATTTAATTTATATCCCTAGGTATTGTACGTAATCTTGCAAGAACACTACGTTATGTCGACAGCGCAAATAATAATACTCACAATTGATTGATTACTTTTTCATTGCCGTAGTATTTTGGGGTGGGCGATTGCGTTCTAGTAATTTCATTGAGCAAATAGTCCCATCGCGTGCTTATCTTTCGATCTTCAATTTTTCACCACAACTATGGCTATTTTATTACGCTTTTGTCGAGCTACCTTTTTGATGCGAATGTACGAATTTTTAAGATGTTTTTGTAGAAAATGTTCATATAACTAGTACCGTTAATTGTTACTAGAAGGGACACACCGAGCTCCAAAATATACATAAAGGAGAAAGGGCCTCAATTGCAAAGCAGGCGTGACCACAGTAAGGACCGCACATCAATCGTCGTCCAAATTATGGTAGCGGTAAACCGCCCAAACTATCCCTAATAACATGCGTTTCTTTTATTCAGATAAATTATTCGACAATAAAGAGACAGATATTTCATTAAATAATCAAGTCAAAAGAGGTGGTTTAGTGAAAATTTAAAAATTCAGATAGTATGTATAACTATGTCCTTCCGTTGTACTTTGTCCTCGCGTAAGCTTAAAAATACAGTTACCATTACCGATGGAATGAAGAATTTATTTTATCATATTATAAACAATTAGGCTACTATTCAAATATGTGACGTAATATTTTACATGTAATTCAGTATTAGACTTGAAAACAAATATTAGTGTTTTCAGCACTTAAAATTGACTTAAGTTAATACATTTAAACATTTAATATTATTAAACTTGTTTTAAATTGATGTATATTATATCTGTAATAAAAATATATAAAGTCTTCCATTTTAAATACAAATTGTTTTAATTTGTTATTACCATGATTTTAGTTGTTTCGTTAATACCGATGTTATGTATGTATAAATAATATTATGATATTAAAACACGACGTCTCACTCTATCGGAGTAGTTAGAGTGAGACGTCGTGAATGATTATTGTTTTAATGCACTCAACAGGACGTATGTAATTTTATGAACGAGATTTTAGCGACGTCACAACTGACGGCCGCGATGGGTTGCCGCCTTGACATCAAAACGTGATCACGCTGTCACATCAATATGTATACAATTATGACCTTTATCCAATTAAATGATATAGAACTAGTATTTCATAGATACGATAATCATTGTTTAAGTAGTTAACTCTTTAATCTCCGATTACGGTGATTATATATAAATCCTCTAATTCTATAGATGCTATGATTTAAATATTTTATGATTTTAATAAATTATTTAGGGCCACGACGCCGCTCAGCTGGGCATTAAAATATATTGTATTGAGATTGAAATGGATCTTATTGTAAGATAACTGGATATGTGTAATTGCATTTGTGGATGATTTTAAAATATGTAAGGCTTCCCTTATATATTAACATTATACTCTGTTTGAATAAACGTTTAAAATCAGTCTAAATCCAGGGCTTTGTAGGCTGTTATGTTTTATATTTATATAAATCATAACGGCCTTTATACTATGTTTTTATTTATTTGTTCGATAAGCGCAATTTAAAATACATTGTTGTTTTACGAATATCATATGGAATAATTTCACTTTAAGAATTTTTGTTAACTATGCGGCGGTATCACGATTGGAAATTGAAATATTTTTATTTTTGCATTAGTACCAAAAGTGGAATACAAAAGCGTTTTGAAATACTTCCATATAAATATATCCATTCTCCATACGTCTATGCCAGTGCGGAATTTGGATAATTTTAGAGTAATCATATTATAATACAATAGAATTTTGATAACATTGTTGTTGCGTTCAAACAAAAGAATACGAGAAATCAATTCCTTTGCACGTATTCTATAGCTTCGAAAATAAATTTATAATCTTTAAACATTATAATATGTGTCATATATGATTTTCTTTACAAGTCCAAAATGATCAAGTTATCAAATACTTATAAATATAGTGTATTTAATTTTATAAACGACAAATATGTAGTTCACAATTATGAAACAAGCTAGAATCAGTAGATAAACTGAAATTAAGAGATATTAAGCAAGTACTATTCGATAACAAGAAGAAATATATTTTCTTCTAATGAAAGGTTATATTAGCAATGTGTATCAGAATAGCACCGAGGGCGAAAAAACAAACAAATTTGAAAAATTTCTAAAACTTTAGAAACAGATAATTCCTATAAATTTTTTATACAATAAAAATAATACCAATAACATAGACATAAAAACCTTTTCAGCACAACTACCAACTACCACGTACCTACGTAACTATTTTGATAAAAATCTAATAAACTTTATTACACTACCATTGAAGCGAACGGTGATATGAAGTATTGTTACAGAAGTTTAAGTTTTTTTTTCTCTATAATTTATTAATATTATCGTATGTATCTCACGAGAGAAATGTTCCGCAGCACCAAAGCGCGTTGTATCCCAAGAACGAAAGCCTACATTGTTCCAAAATAGTTGTAAAAAGGCTATATAAATTTTATTTGTAGTGTATTTATTGTTGCTAAATACAATGTAAATAATGCTTAAATGCATATCATAATTTAACACTGTTTTTTTAGAAGACATTTTAAGAATAATGTACAGATAAGAGACTTACAAAACAGAAGTTGTTTTTAAGATTAATACTTGAATGAAAATTTTGCAGTATGAAACCACATTATGGAATGTTTTAAAGAAAACATTTGTAAAACGGGCGTTCTTTCATAAATGTAATTATTAAAATGGAGTTTAAGTAAATTCCATTGCAGAGTGAATTTTATATTCAAACCTTAACGCGTTCGGGTGTTTGAAGACGAGAGATAAATGAATTGCACGTGAGTCATAATTACATTACCGTTTGAATGAATCCCTATTTGAATGTTTGCCAAGGAACGCTGCATCTCTAGGACTTAGGTCATGATCAAACAATTACGTAGTATTGATAAACACTGAAATTTAAGTATTTCTCTTAATTAGCACTCTCTTCTATAGGGAACATTTTCAAAATATCAATATTTTCCTTACTCGTAAATAACCTTTTTAGTTCAGATTTTGGGAAACATTTGCACGTCATTAAGTATTAGTATTACGCATATTTTTAGTTGTTGAAAATGACACAGAGCCCACTAACGTATGTAAATAATAGAGCAATACAATTACTATACCTATGGAAGCGTCAAAGGCCGTGAGACTGTGAAATCGATTTGTTACCCATCCAATCTACATATTGAAAAGCGTCTAATGAATACTCGCACGTAGCACGACAATTACAAAAGACGAAAACGTTAACGTAAAACGTAATTCCGAACGCAAACACGGCCGGCCTTGAATGTCGGGCGGATCGTTCGGAAATACGCGGGCGCGTGGAAATAGCCGCGGCGGGAATACGGGCACGTGATCTTACGTACCTCGCGTGCGGCCGTACGGAGAAGATGGTGCTCGCTGCCTGACGACCGGCGGCTGACTGAGCCACTGTGTCAGCGGAACGCCCCGCCCGGACCTCCGCCCGCCTGAGTCCGCTATCACAGTGTTTTGTATGGGGTGACTGTTAGACGGCTGCTTTCGCACTTGGAGGAAAAGTTGTGTCTCCTTCACTGGCTGGGTGTTCGGCGTTTGGGCTTGCGGACGTACGCGGGCGGCGTTGTTGTGTCGCCACGGCCGTGGACGCGTGCTTCCCGAGCGCAGTTGGGCGGCGGACTGGTTGGAGCGGGCAGCCGGCGGGCCGACTAGCGCCTCCCCGCCCCCGCCGTGACGTAGGCTCCGGGCCGCGATGGTGGAAATTAGCAGCTTCCCGCGCGAGGGTCGCCGGATGTAGGTCACGGGGACTGGGCCTGCACTTGCCCACTCTACCGTGCCGATACACTCGACAAGTTTAAGGACGTTAAGACGAGATTGGGTGCATATGTTCGCAACGGTGATCTGTCACGCTACCACATCGCAGCGTGATCTTTGATGTGAAAAGTAAAGGCTACGCCGGAGTTTTCCCAAATTTTTACATCGGTCGCGTGACGTCATAAGGGTAGACGCGTTCCCACACCGCTGTGCTTTTTGGATTTTGAATGTCAATAATTGTATTCATTGAATAACTTGCTGACCTGGCTTCTCACCTGTAGACATAAATAGAGACCATTAGACTCAGGAACGGTTTAGTTTAGCGTTGGTAAAAATATTTTATAGAATCAGGCCTTTGTTCTTTACTTATTTATGGGCATAAATCTTTTGTTTCTTAAATAGTTATTCTTTGATGTGTTTGAGTTGGGTCTCTCATACCATACCTGTTGTGTACAAAAAAGTTTAACTTAACCGGTAGTATTTCCCAACCTGTACCCACCGGTTTGGAAAGTGCGTTATCAGTCAATTATTAAGTTTATGAGTTTTACTAAGCAGAAATTTTTAGTTCACTTCTGAATCGCTTCTTTTCCTGTTATTACTTTTTCAAATTATTTTAGTGACCTTTTTTCGTGCTTAAATTTACTTTAAATGACCTTGAACTAAAGCTTACATTTTCCGACGGCTTTTTCATTATCATCATAATTTCAACCTGTTTTGGTCCACTGCTGAACATATGCCTTCCCCACAGAGTGCTACCAAGACAATTCTGAGCCACTTGCATTCATCGATTGCTTGCACAGGTCGTCAGTCCATCTAGTGGGGGTTCTATATTACACTGGCCAATACGAGGATGCGACTCGGGGACCTTTATTCCCCATTAGTGGCCAATACGAGGAGTCGTGGACCTTTATTCGCCATTAGTTATCTTCGAGCCATATAGCCAGCCCGTTTACACTTCAGTTTGCTAACCCGCTGACCTATGACCGTTACCCTTATCCTACTGTGAATATCTTCGTTACTCTCAAGTATTACTATTACGGCGTAGTTATAGGACGACTGCTTCAAACTTCCGCTAAGCGAGCCAAGGCGATAATGTAATTGTTGAAGTGCTGCAATTATCGTTGTAGTTCGTTAACTGAATAACAGCCGTAAACTAGATCGCAGTCACGCCCTTACAAAGCTCACGTGACACAGTCACGTTTTCGTTTTTGTGTAGTGGGTAATGAAGTCATGTGATACAGGATGAAGTTGTAACATAATGAAAATATACTTGATATTTTTATTAAAAAAAACCGGCCAAGTGTGCGTCGGACTCGCGACTCGGACCCGGTTCCGTACCATTATAGGCGTCGTATAAAAACGGCAAAAAATCATATCTGTTATCTTAAATGTTTTTTTAATCTGTTTTTAGTATTTGTTCTTATACCGAGCGCAAAGAGACATACATCATCTGAATTTCTCTTGCCGCTCAACTATCACGATTCGTGAGATAAATGGTGAGCCTGGTGACAGACGGACAGACAGATGAAGTTAGTAATAGGGTCCCGTTTTACCCTTTGGGTACGGAACCAAAAAAAATGCACTTCAAATTTAATATTTCACTCACATTAACTATTTGATTTTGAGGAGTTCCCTGCTGAATTTAATATATAAGTTAAATTAAATGGTGGTTTAGGTATCAAACATAAAAATAAACATGCAGCCGAATTGAGAACCTTTTTTGAAGCCGGTTGATAAAATAGAGTGGTATAAGAAGGTAACAACAATCGATAAAGATAGAGAATAGGAGAGGATGACCGAAGTAAGGACTAATGAATTATATTAGGCAAAGAAAGTGGGATTTTGTAAAAAAAAACGTTACAAAGCATATCAATGAAGGTGAATCATTGATATGCACGTCTGGTGTTCAGATAAGGTAAGCAAGTGGTATAATAATACCTACTACTCTACTAACTCTACCTACCCTCATAGTAACGTCTCCTTATGCTTACTTCAACTCGTCGTTATATTATAAACAAACTAATCAAATAGGCAAGTACTTATAACTTTCTAATTCATATTGCACTTTAGAAAGAGCCTAGCTTTAGGAATTATAAAATACTAACTCATCTAACGGCGATTAACTGAATATAATAAACTAATAGTAAATACTTAAACCAACGTCGTTGCTGCAACAAGACTAGATCTTCTTTAATATTATAATCAACATTTCACCAGACATTTTTCATCTGCTAAATTCGTCAAAGGCTCTTAAAACTTCGACCGTTGCTACAACGTTGGTGTCGGATGAACTCGGTGCATTATGCTCATATGACGTTGTCTGTCGTCAGTTTAATTTAAAAGTTTCTAATTTTGCGGGAGTTCAATGGCCGATGGAAATTATTTTCGTTGTATTGTTTATTACACGTACTTGGGTGAAAGTTTTTAGTATATTTAATGCGTCCCACCATAAGTCAATACAGCGTGTCGTTACCAACGCGACAATAAATGAACACACATATAGAGGATAACTTTTTAAAATTGTATCAAAAATTAACATTCTTTAAACATCAATATTCACAGAGTTATTAAATTTTCCAGAACAAAGAACTTTAGAACATTCTTACGTATAAAACTGTAACGTAAAGTTCATTTGTAAAGGTCACAAAGCATATGAATGGGTTGAATGAATTTAAAAGAGACAAAACATACTGTTAGAAGGAGAGGCTTGTAATGCGACACTGTGGCAACGAATGAAAAAGTCTCTGAATGTATGAATCAGTCAGTTGTAGTTCTATAGGATGTTACAAATTTTGTTTCTTTTTTACTTAATTAGTTTGTTTAAAAAATATTTTTTTTTTAATTATCGATATTTTTTAACGTTAATATTTTTTTGTGATTATTGGCAAGTAGCGTTAGACGTGTGTTCATTTATTGTCGCGATGGTAACGACACGCTGTATAAGTTTTTTTTTTACTTTAAACGATAATATCATCAAAAGTAGATTTTATGAATTTGATTCACTGGCACATTGCTTTTTTATTTATTATAGTTTGTTTCGTGATACTGATTCATCAGATATTTAAATTTTAAACAAAACCTTTTCAGTATTTTCATCGCGGCGTATAAAATAAAATATTGACAATTTGGATTTATTTTAGGTACGAACCCTTTCTGGGGCGTATATTAGAACAGTAAGGAAGATGGACACCAGTTGAACACGCGAGGAGAAAGTTGCACTTTTTTAAGTTTATGTATCAAAAGAATTTTTCTAAGATAACAGATATCCCATATTTGTTCTTTCATTGCAGCTCTTTCTGTGTTCAGTATCTGTAGTCGTTTTTTACTGTTAAAGTATTTCATTTACTAGGAAGTGTGTTCTCAGTCGCCTAGAGAGATAAGAGTTAATCATTCCTAAATAAAATATTTGTAAATGTGTTGTTTTCCTACTAGATTACTTTCTCGGCGATTGAAACTGTCCATGCAAGTATGACATCGTATCTTTGAATATTTAACTACAAGTTGGATGGACAAACTTTTCCCACAAAAGACCATTAAGTAGGTCCATAAAAGAGTTGTGTAGTCGAAACGGATGTATCCGGTAAAGGAGATTAAATGATTACATTGTTGTGTTGATTGCCTAAAGCATGTCATAGCCAGGCGAGATTTTTTCGAAAAATTAATATCAAAAATCAATGAAAATCTCGAATTTATTGCTCGGAAAGCACAAAGGTTAAGTATTCGCTGTGGTAATTTAAATTTATTATCGTCTACTTAAGAATAATAGTTTTTAAAAACTTTTCGTACCTTTTTCTACAAATTTTAATATTCACCTTACTTGTTTGCAGTCATACGGGATGACGACAATTTGTGATCCTTAATTATAACAGCTGTTTCACGTCACGGTGTAGTTTAAATCCAAGGTCTAATTTTTGTGCTCTTAGAACAAAAAGTTTTGATTTTTTCGAAAAACCTTTTACGCTAATTTTTCAATTATATCAGAAATTTCATCCCCAAAGCATGTGGACACTTGTGAAAGTATTCTTTACGGAATACAGCGTAAATTTCCAGACTTAACACGTAGATTTGTATGGAAAATCCATCCCAGTCTTAACTTTGTTTGCAGAAACGTACGGAACGTGGAGATGTTTTTCTTTTTAATGAAAATACGTAACATTGTACACTCGAGATAAGAGATTGCGATAACGGATCGTTTTTTATCTTATTTCTAATAGATAGAACGGGGAGATTTGAGTTTCTTATTCACAATGGAAGTTTTAAATAAAAATGATATTGTAACATTTTAAATATGTTAGATAATAACTTTTTGTGTAAAAATTACTGTACAGACATTTCTCATTTAAAGGAACATATAAACAAAGATACATGAAATGAATACAAATATTTCTTTTTTTTTTCGTTATTATGGGTTCATAAGTGGTTAAAACGTCGGCAATGTAAAAGTCTATTCATTCTTGTATACTACTGACATTTTAATGCGTAAAATAACATTGGAATCGTTTAATCAAAATTTGCACATAGAATTAAACATTTATAAGATTCGTTCAGTCTAAAATAAAGAAGTATTTATTAATACAATCTCCTAACTCAAAGAATCGTACACGATTTCCGTTGTAAGAGCCGAACAAGCTACCTACATCGAGATCGCCCCTAGGCCTTCCATGCTCAGAAAACTTTGACATAAGATGTATAGAAATGGGGCCTCTAGAGCGGCTTACGTTGAACCGATATCGCTATCAGTATGAAATCTTAACTTTACCGTTTTAGATTAGACGTGTTCTCTATGTCATGTTTTGATTGATAATACGTTCATATTCAGATAACTTAAATGCTGTTATTGATTGATCTCACGTACTTTACGTAACATTCATTATGTAAGATGCCGAAGTGATGAGTTTTATTTACATTGAATCGAGAAAAATTTATATTCTCCAGATCAATACTATACGAATATTTTCAGCTACATTTTGTCTTTTTCAACAATCGAGAAAAATTTCGGATTATATGTAATTTTAGGTTATTTACCCCAAAGATGAACAGTAAACAATTTTCCCGTACCAAATAAATTAATTGGACACGAACATTTGATTACCATCATAATTATTATCTATTTAGTATTTATTATTTTTACATTGGTATAGTCTTAAAAATAAGTAGCAGTGGCTAATAAACGTGTACATTTTCAGATATTGAAACGATTTTTATCCGTCTGATTTCCAACAAGTTACAATGGTAAAGTAATGTATAAAAGCAGTCTCTTTCCCTGCTTTTCACAATCTGTGAGG